ATTATTAACATTATGACTACTACATGAACATATTAACATTATTAATATTATGACTACTACATGAACATATTAACATTATGACTACTACATGAACACATTAACATTATTAACATTATTACTAATACTTTATTAACCATCAAAATACTTTCACACAAATTATCTGTAATTCTGTAATACAATAATTGTATTATGTTAATTATTGAATTGAGTAATTTATTAATGGTTTCTTGTATAAACTTTTGAAAAGTTTAATTTAAAATCATATTTCTTCATGTAAACATCTTAAGTGAAGTCAAAGTACCTCAGATGTCTTTTGTTTCTGCAGCTTCACAGATTAAAGCAGAGAACATGGAAGGAGCTGAGTTTTCTTCTCAAACAGAAACTAACGGATCTTCTGGAGAGTTCTTCATCAACCAGCACCAGTAGGCCTCATCCATCCTTCTCCTTCATCTCGCTCTACAATTATGAGTTTCAATCCTCATCAAACTCATCTACTGTGGCTTAATCACTTTTTCTCTTGGTGTCCAGTCAGACCAGAACGTGGCTCAGCATAGTTCAACCACGTCTACATCGTGTTGAACGTCTGGCGATGTATTCGGGTTTATAGCGTCTAAAGTCACTGAGGTCCTCTGTATTCTCCCATTTAAAAAGCTGGATATTTTAAAAGCTAATTATATTGTTTATTTTAGGATCATTATAGTTAAATAAGAAAAATTATGCAACGAACAACAAATGGTCTATTCAACTGATTATTTATGAGCTGTAATTTATTTTTTAATTGGTTGATTTTGAGCATAAATGCTGGTCTGACAGGGACCTTCTTCGTTTCCTAAAATCACACTCGCCATCTCCATTTTTTGGGGGCTTCCCAACAACAAAAATTCCCTTTCGCAGTCTTCATTTTGTAGCCTCATGGGAGGCGGGGGGGCGGTAATGGTCCTGTTGCTGTCGGAAATATGACGACACTCTCTCAGACTCTTCTGACTGAGCAACAAGAACCAGAATACAGAAACATTTATGGATAAAGAAGAAGCTGAAGGAGGTCCGGGATAGTAGAGTTACTCATCTTTGGTTGAAAAAAACAAAAAAGCAATCAACGAAGGGATGACGTGACAAGAACATCTTTGTAGGATGAGTTTTTCCAACGCCAACATCTTTGTTGTTTTTTGGTGTTTGTGTGGTGTGTTTGAGGGTCAGAACTCTTGCCTATGTAATAATTATAACAATAATACTGAATGCTGTGTAATGTCATGTTGAGATTAGCAGACATTTAAAAACCCTTTTGTGTGTGTTTGTGAGATAAAGTGTGTGTGTGTGTGTGTGTGTGTGATGTGGATTCTGGACTGATGAGTTGTCTCAAGAACGTCTGCGTCGTGACAGCGTCGTGTTCAGCAGTAATATGTATATTATTACTGTTTAAAAGTTTAAAAACAGCCAAAAGTGAGTGAAGTTTGGTTGAAGGTGTTTTTATCAAAGATTCTTCTCCACTTAAACTGTAAGCTAGCTAACAGTGAACTATTAGTACAGTTTAAACTTATGAAAACAACTGTTAAAAACAGTTCACCCTCAGTGAAAACAACTACAAATGCTCTCTCTCTGATCAGGGCTCTAACTGTGTGAATTATGTTTCTGTTGTGGTTGCAGTTTATACTCCAACAGAGGATTTTATTCAATAAAACTGGATGTTAGCAACACAGCTAACATGCTACGTTAGCTTCCTCTTCGAAACACTGTCGAGACCAGGAGACAACCTCCGGTTCTTTAAAGTGAAGTCAATGCTTCAGGTGCCAACCTGCATTCTCTCTAGTGTCCAGCAGGGGGCGACTCCTCTGGTTGTATAGAAGTCTATGAGAAAATGACTCTACTTCTCTCTTGATTTATTACCTCAGTAAACATTGTAAACATGAGTTTATGGTCTCAATCTCTAGTTTCAAGTCTTCTTCAATACAGCATGATGTTCATTTAGTACATTATGGTCCATTTAGAGTCAAACAGACCATAAAGCAGGGGATGCTTTAGGGCGGGGCTACACGGTGATTGACACCATCTCTACGTCACTCCTCCTCAGTCCATATATGGTCACTTCCTGTTCAATGGTTGTGAAAAAAACAAGATGGCGACAGCGAAACTGCCGAACTCGATGCTTTAAAACGTCCACAATCCAATGAGAGACGTCACCGTGACTACGTCCACTTCTTATTTAGACAAACTTCTTCTGCTCGGTATTGACAGAGAATATCGCCTCAGTATCAGAAACTCTGGAATAGAAACATTTACGGTACTAAACTTGACATTTGATACTCAGATTAGAAGTAAATCTCTATTGAATCTTTATTCCGTATATTCTTTTATTTGCTGCAGTGTGACGTCAGAGTCCGACAGTTAAAGTCACAGTTTTGTTTTTTTAGATATCCAGCTAAACGTCGTGCTGGGAGTTTCCCAGCAGCTCAGTGGTCCTTCAATAAATAGCAAAACACTTTATTATTAGATTGTAATTTTGTACGTCTTCATTCGCTAACTATTTATACCTCACAAAATGATTTATCACATAATGATTAAAATAATCTTAAAAGTTGTAAAAGAGATTATTTCAAAAACACTGTAGAGTTTATTTGATTTTTTTCTAAATCTAGTCTGAAAATTATCATATTCTAACTAAAAAACGTAACGTGTAATAAAGGTAATTTTTTGTTCACAAAGAAAAGATAAAATACTAATTTAACACTACAAAAACAAAAATATGTTGATGGAAATTATTTATCACTAAAAGGAAAAACATATTTTCTATAAATGTTTAACTTCCGTATAACATAATTACTTCAGACTGCTAAAATGAGCGCATTCATTTATCATGTAACATTTAGCTGAATACAGTTAAAGTGCTTTCGACTAAGAATGCGTTTATTGTGTTTTACCCACATTAGACTCGATGATATCAGTGAGTGTATCCATGTTCCCCAGATCAATATCCTTACAATCTGTTTGTTGTTTCTCTGGATCAATATGTTGAAATCACCTCCAGCTTACAGCCGACTGATGTTAACGTCCTTAAAACCAACTCCCTCAAATCTTAGTAGAAGACAGTTCTCTTGACATCAGACATTGATCTCTCCACAGTGGCACAATGAAGTTTTACCATTCAAACTGCATTTAAAACGTCTTCTTCTGTCGTTCTTTCTGTAACTTTGATCAATCTTTTGACAACTCAAAACAGAATACCTTTGAGAGGACGTAACTCTGGAACCGTTCAAAAACTCAATGTAGAACCTTAAGAACATAACAGAACATGTTTTGGTCGGAGCACTTCCTGGACTTAAATAGTTTGTTTGAGGTGCTCTGTAGATAAGTCGTCATGTACATTTGACAAACAATACCAAGTTATTGATATGCTTCTAGCATGGTTATATGCATAGTAACATGCTAACATTCTAGCATGGTAAC